TTTCATACGACCGTCAGTTGTATTGACAAAAGCCTTTACAAAAGCGTTTGCAATATTCTGGTGGAGATCTCCATAACGTTTTACGTCTTCAGTCCGACCCAAGGCTTTGGCCATTTTGGACAGCAATAGGGCGTCGTATCCGTAGTAAGCGGTGGACAACACATCCTTCGGTGTGTCGGCATTCACTTGAAGCCAATCGCCGTAATTATTGCTCACTCTCTTTAACCACAAGAAGTTTGGATTCTGACTCTCGATGTAATTTATCCATCGTTTCATTGAATCATAATTGTCTTCAATAATCTGTAGGTCTCCGTATTGTCGCCACACAGTATACGGCACTATAACACCGACATCACCCCAAGCGGGGGACCCATCAGATACATCGACCACACGGGGCGCCACCTCTGGAAAGCCGCCGTCTTTTGACTGTCCGTCCCGTAAGTCACGCATCCATTTGGTGTAAAAGGCGGACACATCGGCGTTATAAGTGGCCGTATGGGCGAAGATCTCTGCGTCTCCCGACCAGCCAAGTCTCTCGTCCCGTTGCGGACAGTCTGTCGGGACCGATAAAAAGTTTCCCCTTTGACCCCAATTGATGTTTGAGTACAACTGATTGACCATTTTGTTTGAGGTCTCAAAATGTGATTTAAAAGCCGTGTCTGAGTGCATGACAATACCCTTAATGGCTGTTAGCGGCGGTTCTCCCGGATATCCACTGATCTCAACATATCTGAAGCCATGGGTTGTAAAGTGAGGTTCAAATAATAGTTCCGTTGTACGGCTGGCCTCTATTTTAACGGTAGTATACATTAATTAGTTGATACAGTAAAGTGTTTTATAATTTTGTAAATTAATGGTATCTTGTTTTACTTACTATTCAAGACATAGGTATCGGTGGCCAAAGCCGAGCGCAGGTTCAGTACATAAATGGTTCCGTTAGGGTTGAGGGCCTCGGCGTGTCTTAACTGCACACGACTCGCGTCATAGGCTTTAGGCATTTGGATTTGAACCCAACCGACCATATTCTGGCCAAAATCAAATACCCAAACGCCGGGTTGACTCTCGTGTTTGGTCTTGGGCTCGAGCACTTGTACCGCCCGAACCGGTTCAGCCCTATCGGCCACGAGAGCCACGTTTTTGTCTATGGGTTTAGTAACCACTGATGGCCAGTGGCTGTCGTCAAACGCTGAGTCCCTCCAGTTTTGCGGCTCTCGACTCTCGTAATACAATTCACCCATCAATAGGTCTGAGTATATGTAGGAACCGGTGTTTACTTTCCACGTGTTGTCCGACTTGACAACAGCTGTAGTCTTGTCTTCGTATTCAATTCGCAACTCAATCAACATATGCTGATCCCAACCAAATATGTTATACTGATAGTTCATCCCAACATAGCCTCCATACCAACCGGTGCCCAACAATATGCTAATAGTGTTTGTAGCAGTCAACTGTTCGGTCACTTCATAGGCCTGGTATTGAATAGTTTTGTTATAGTCAGTCCATCCCGGGTCCAGAACTGATTTATTAATATCGCGGCCATTAATGGCCAACTTATACACGCCCTGCGCTGTGGCGTACAGTTTAGCCGATTTTACTTTTGAATTTGTTGCGAAACTTTTGCGGAGGTATAGCACCGGCACTAAACCGGGCAAATGATGGGCCAACTGTTTAATACAACAAAAAATATTTACAAAATTAATAATATTTTATTAAATTACACTAATTTATAAATAATAAACTTACATTTGCGTCAATATCTGCGAGATTTTTGAGTGCCTGTTGTTGTGTGCCTTTGGGAGCACCAATCCATTGAGCCGTCCAATCACTCGCATCCAAGCCTTTATCCCAGAAACCGATATGACCCGGATGTTTGTCCAGCACCCGGTCTTTCTGATCCCATACATTCACTTTCCAATAGGCTCTCATACCGGCCTTCAACGGAGTGCCGCCGTATTTAATATGATTTGTCCGATCGCTCACTACTTTCTTACTGTCCCACAGATTACCGATGTTTTTGTCCAGACTTTGCCGATCAGTGGACACAAGTATTTGATAAGCCTTTTGCGACAAATCCTTCTTTGTTTCATTCAGCGCCTGTAGTGACCATTGAAGTCGAGGTTGAGGTATGTCTACAGCCAATGGATTGACCAGATATTCAACTTTCAAGTCTACGGCTTGTATATCAGAGTCGGCCCAAGTTGTTGGAAACATCAAACATTGTATGAGAAATGGTGCAAAAATAAATGCTTTATTCATCATTACGTTAACAATAATATTAGTATTGAGTTAACGAATGAATATAAAATTAACAAAAACAATAACTTTATTAAACAATTTTCACATTAAATTTATATCAAAATAAATCTCGACATAAATTTCTAATTGTGTGAAATATTTGTATGTTTACCACATGTGAATTGTATAGCACTTTATCAGTAATATTAAGACAATTGTAAAAACAACTTCACTTTAATCTTCAATTTCAATTATTTTTGTATAAAATATCGATAATATAAATTATCTCTTAATTTGTAATGAATTTATAAATTATATCTTTTAATTATTAAAGGATTCAATAATTATTTAAAATAAAACTTTTCCATTTCAATTACACTGAACTAAATAAAATGATATTAAATATAATTATCACATCATGATTATATGAGCACTCGTACGGGCGCTTGTACTAGCACAAATTATGTTATGTTATCATTTAATGCTTCAAGTCAAAAAGTTTTCAATATATTCGTTAATGCAGTACTAATATAAATATGATAGTCTCAATTTAATAATAATGTATTTACTACAATTAAATATAATATGTATGTGGTTTAGTACAACTATGCTTTATCAAGTTATTTAATTTGGCAATCAAATAGTGTCTCAATTGTTAATCCCATGTTAAGCAAACAAAACGGTTTGGTTAATATGAGCACTGATTTTATTAATTGTTAGTCAACGCAATCATTGTCTGGTATTTATTAATAGTATATAATATTGAAACATGAAATGAATAGCAAAACATTGAACAACAAACTTGGATCCGCTCCCAACCCTATGTGACCAAAACTTTTAATTTTATTTACTTGTGTTTGACATAACTTATAAAGCATTACAATTAATTTCATCAAATGTTATGTCAAGTTAATCGCAAAATTTGTTAGAAGATATTAGATTATAGTACCGGTAAATATCGTATTTTAATAAGAAATAAACATTTATTTAAATGTTTTAAATTATTTTCACATTATTATTAATAATTTATTAATTATATTCAATTATAAAATTACGGTCAATTATCTCATTGTAATTCAAAATGTTGTGTCAATTCTCCGCTGTAGACATACCTACCGGAGCCCACATTATGGACGGCAGGGCTTTTCATAAAAGCTAAATCAATCAGAGCTTTTGTATTGACTGGTATATCGACCTATCATTTAAATCACAATTAAGTAATTAAATAATAAGTTGTCAAATGAAATGAGATAAAAAGTTTCAAAACATACGGTTAAAGTGATATTAACGCCATTTGTTTCCCACGCACTGCCTATAAGACCATTAATGGACGGGTAGTGGGCTTTGACTGACGTGAGACCGGCGGCCGGTTTTGGTGCGATTCTAATCCGTTTGAATCCCACCTCTTCGTTGTCGGTGTCAATACCGGCCACTGATTGGTAGAGCCATCGACCGACTGATCCCAGAGAGTAATGATTGAATGAATTCATTTGCGGATTCTGGAAACCCTTCTCTTTGGTCCAACCGTCCCATCGCTCCCATATAGTGGTGGCGTTATATTTAATACTATAGCCCCACGAGGGGTACGTGTCCTGCAGTAGTAGACGATACGCCACATCCGAGTGACCGAATTGAGTGAGTGTTGGACATAAATGGCCCACACCTTGCATTGCCATAATGAAAGTTATTTAAATATAAATAAAACAATACTAAACATATGTATGAAATCAATTAACAAACCAATAAAACCGGTGGTCAGATGATAGTCATGTGCTTTAATATTGTCCACCAAATGATTTGCCGCCAATTGCTGCAGATTTTTGGGCAACATTTCAAATGCAATTGCGATCACATAATCAGTTTGAGTGTCGCCTTTCATACGACCGTCAGTTGTATTGACAAAAGCCTTTACAAAAGCGTTTGCAATATTTTGGTGGAGATCTCCATAACGTTTCACGTCTTGAGTCCGACCCAAGGCTTTGGCCATTTTGGACAGCAATAGGGCGTCGTATCCGTAGTAAGCGGTGGACAGCATATCCTTCGGTGTATTGGCGTTCACTTGAAGCCAATCGCCATAATTAGTGCCGACTCTCTTCCTCCAGAGAAAGTCCGGGTTTTCGGCCCCGATATAAGACATATAGCGTTTCATTGACTCATAACTGTCTTCGACGGCCTGAATGTCTCCGTACTGTCGCCACAGAGTGTACGGCAATATCACCGCAATGTCAGCCCAGGCGGGCGACCCGTTGCCCATTGTAGTCCGGCCCCACACTTTGGGCGCCACATTAGGATATCCACCTTCAGTAGACTGCGAGTCCCGTAAGTCACGCATCCATTTGGTGTAAAAGGCGGACACATCGGCGTTATAAGTGGCCGTATGGGCGAACACCTCTGCGTCTCCCGTCCAGCCCAGCCTCTCGTCCCGTTGCGGACAGTCTGTCGGGACGGACATGAAGTTTCCCCTTTGACCCCAATTGATGTTTGAGTACAACTGATTGACCATTTTGTTTGAGGTTTCAAAGTGTGATTTGAATGCTGTGTCTGAATGGATAACAATACCCTTAATGGCCGATTGCGGCGGTTCTCCCGGATATCCCGTGACCTCAACGTATCGGAAACCATGGGTTGTAAAATGCGGCTCAAGTGATAGCTCTGTCGTACGGTTGGCCTCTATTTATACATATATAATAAGTTTTTAAATTAATAATACATTGATTATGCACTTACTGTCCAACACGTACGTATCGGTGGCCAAAGCCGAGCGCAGGTTTAGTACATAAATAGTTCCGTTAGGGTTGAGCGCCTCGGCGTGTCTTAACTGCACACGACTCGCGTCATATGCTTTAGGCATTTGGATTTGAACCCAACCGACCATATTCTGGCCAAAATCAAATACCCAAACGCCGGGTTGACTCTCGTGTTTAGTCTTAGGTTCGAGCACTTGTATCGCCCGAACCGGTTCAGCTCTATCGGCCACAAGAGCCACCGTCTTATCTATGGGTTTAGTGACCACTGATGGCCAGTGGCTGTCATCATAAACAGACTCTCTCCAGTTCTTAGGCTCTCGACTCTCGTAATACAATTCACCCATCAATAGGTCTGAGTATATGTAGGAACCGGTGCTTACTTTCCATGTATTATCAGACTTGACAACAACAGTAGTCTTATCTTCATATTCAATATGCAACTCAACCAACATATGCTGATCCGACCCGAAGTGGTGGTACTTGTGTTCATACGACACGTAACTGCTGTACCAACCCGTGCCCAACAGTACGCTTATGGTGTTTTCGCTCGCCAACTGGTCACTCACGTCATAGGCCTGGTATTGGATAGTCTTGTTATAGTCGGTAAATCCTGGGTCGAGAATTGATTTGTTAATCACACGGCCATTGATAGACAGTTGATACACGCCTTGAGCCGTGGCATACAGTTTAGCCGATTTTACTTTTAAGTTTGTTGTAAAACTTTTTCTAAGGTATAGGACGGGCACTAAAGCGGGTTTTGATTTAATTAACTATTTTAGTGTAGAAAATGACAAAAAGTTAATTGTGTTTTTTTTAATTATATTGTTTTAATTGTGTTAAAATATAACTCACTTTATCGTCAATATCAGCCAGATTTTTGAGTGCTTGTTGTTGTGTGCCTTTGGGAGCGCCGATCCATTGAGCCGTCCAGTCATTTAGATCTAAACCCTTATCCCAGAAACCAATATGACCCGGATGTTTGTCGAGCACGCGGTCATTCTGATCCCATACATTCACTTTCCAATAGGCTCTCATCCCGGCCTTCAACGGAGTGCCGCCGTATTTGATATGATTTGTCCGATCGCTCACTACTTTCTTACTGTCCCACAGATTACCGATGTTTTTGTCCAGACTTTGCCGATCAGTGGCCACAAGTATTTGGTAAGACTTTTGCGACAAATTCTGTTTCGTCTCATTCAGCGCCTGTAGTGTCCATTGAAGTCGGGGTTGAGGTATGTCTACAGCCAATGGATTGACCAGATATTCAACCTTCAGGTCAATGGCCTGTATATCACTGGTAGAGTCGGCCAATGCTGTGGTAAATAGCAAACATTGTGTGACAAAAACTGCTAAGACTATTGATTTATTCATTATTACTAAATAGTATTAATAAATTACAATATAAAACAGTTATAATTAGACCATTTTAGCGATCAATATATACCAAACTTAAATCACGATAAATCTCTACATTTATAACAAATTGTGTGAAAAATTGTGTTATTCACCACATGTTAATCTAATTGTGATTTTACGATAAAATTTTAACAGCAATATTGAAACAATAGTACAAATAATTTAATTTTCAGTTTCACTTTTGTAATAATCTCTTCATAAGAGGATGTAATGATTATTTATGTTTAAATGATTAAAATAAATTTTTCCATTTTAACCAAAATTAATTAGTTATCATTAATTATTTACTAATACTTTATTAATAATAATGTAAAAATTTTGTTGCGAAACAATTTATATAAATTAAAAGTAATATAAAAATCATATAAAATCGTATTACAAAATCATAAACAATTGCTAGCAATATACTAGTAATAAACTTACAAGTTAGAAATTTAGAATTAAAACTAATTAATAATGAAATAGAAGAAAATTGTTTTACAAACAATTAAAATTTTGCTACAAATTGTTAAAACTTATAAATAATAAGAGAAATGAATGAGTTTTACGAGAATACAGATAATAATAAACAATATTAAAACTAATCATTAAATCACTAAATAAAGTATAAAATTACAAATAAATTGAATTGTCGAATTTTATGATAAAATTCTTGGGAATCGTGACATTCATGTCATCCAAACGCTGTGGAAGTGATTGATAGTCATACGAATCCAATCCGAGTCTTACAAACTTCTTGGCGGACATATTATCCAAGCAATGGGTGACAAAAAGTGCTAATTCCTCGGCGGTTACATCGCTTCCAATAGGGATCGCATTGAGTCCACTGAAGAGTTGCAGATCATTGGATTCAATGGTAGACAAACTTTTGCCGTCTTTGAAAACCATTCGCTTCAATTGTGGCAATTGTGACAATAAGTGCAGACACTTGTGAACACATTGCGGACAATCGTTGTCCTCAAAAACTTCTTCGCCGTCGCCATCACTGCACTCGCATTCAATTATGATATCAGTCAATACTAAACGTCTAACCGATGGTAATATTTGGTCCAATTTAGTCATCATTGTTGGCACAAATCTCACGTGTTTTAACTCCAAACTCTTGAGCGATGGCATCGATTGCATGGCATTTGTGTCCAAACAGATGTTAAACGAAGTACTGATTGACAAATGTCTCAATTGACTGAGTTTTGGGATGTTTTCCACGAAGACATCGGTTCGCACGCATTCCCAGTGAAGACGTTTGAGCGCAAAATCAGTGCAAATGTCTTCAAACAAATAATCCAATTTGTTATCGTTTCTCTCATTGATTCCTCTCGAGTCGCAAACGCTCAGCGCTTCCAGTTGTGGACATCTATTCTTCAGGATATCGACCGATACGTTCACCTTATTGTCAAAGCAATCGTTAAGACTTAGGCGACGAATACTTTGTGGCAAACACTCCAACACTGAGTCCAGCGAATCCGTGCAACGATTTAATTCAATGGATTCAAGCGATGATAATTGTGGTAACAATTGTCGACAATTGGTCACAATATTCCTCTTGACTTCCATTTGTGCTGAATATGTGCCTCTAATGAAGTGCTTCGCAGCCAAACACTTGGATGTGATCTTCGGAGTGATCCACAGATGCAAACGCTTCAGTTGTCGACATTGGGTGACAATCAGACCGATTATCTTCTCGTCAATCAAAGCCAAACCCAAACACAAAGACGTGATGTTTGAACACTTCCCGAGTATGGATCCAAACGTGTCCACACTTTCGGTCACATCATAAACAAGAATTGTGTTGACTCTTCGCTTAACAATAGCACAACTTATGTCTCCATTTCTACAGTCATAAGAATAGCGTCCAATACTCAATCCATTCTTCCTCTTCAGAGCACTTCCCACACAATCCATGAATTGATTGCAAACGGACTCCACTTTCAGCAGTGATTTCACCGAAAGCTCGTTGAAAATCAATCCCAAGACGTCGTCATTCATGACATGACTTCTTCGCGAAGATATGTCTTGTTTGGCGGAACCATAACTCTTACCACTCCTTGTTTTTAATCCCTTCCCGTCTGAAGACATTTCAAAACAATTGTCAAAAACGTTTGAAAACTTTTGTTAATCAAAAGTACAGCAAAAGTGAGTTTTTGTGACAACTTTTGAAACATTCGCTCAGAAATTGTGTCACGTTTTCAACAATTCATTCAATAATTCAATGCATTTTAATTCAATATAAAATCTATTGAAACATTTGTTTAAAACTAAAAACATTTAAAACAAAATTATTCAATAATCAAGTATTTAATGATAAAATTGTTAGGAATCGTGACATTCATGTCTTGAAAATGCTGAAGAAGTGGTTCTTTGAAACCAGAATCCAATACAAGTCTCACCCACTTATGGGCGGATATATTACGCAAACAATGGTCTACTAAGTGGACCATTACCTCAATGCCCACCCCGTAGTAAAAGGGCAACACATTTAGTCCGTCGAAGAGTTTCAGATCATTGGATTCAATGGCCAACACGTAATTCGTGTCAGTGATGGCCATCCGCTTAAGTCGTGGCAATTGTGACATTAATAGCAGACATTTGTTCACACATTCTCGACAACGGGTGCTATTGTTATGGGCGAAGGCTTCCTCGCCGTTGCCATCACTGCACTCGCATTTAATGATAATATCACTCAATACTAGTCGTCTAACCGATGGAAATATTTGCTTCAATTTAGACAACATTTTTGGCACACATTTTACGCTAATTAATGATAAAGACTTGAGTGAAGGCATCGATTGCATGGCTGTTGTGTCCAAACAAACGTTGAATGAATTGATCCACAAATGTCTTAAGCGATTGAGTTTTGAGACATTTTCGACGAAGACTTGTGTCGATAGGAAATAATTTCCCCAATGAAGACGTTTGAGGGGGAAATGTGCGCAAATGCCGGCAAACAGTTGATCCCATTCTTCGTCGGTTGTGAATACGTATAGGTCTTCCAGTAGTGGACACCTATTCCTCAGGATATCAACCGATACACTGAAAAGTGTGTCAACTCTTAGGCGACGAATGGTTTGCGGCAAACAATGCAACACTTGGTCCACGGAATCGCTTAAATAAAAACTCAATGCAATCGATTCGAGCGATGATAAGTGTGGCAACCATTGCGTTATGTTAGTCACCATATCTTCCTCGACGGTTAAATGAGACAATTGAGGCAATAATCGCTTCAATGCTCTCTTCGACACTTGCGGTGACGTCTGTTCGTAAGACAAATGGTTTTGCAAATACAAGCGCTTCAATTGTGGACATTGTTTAACAATCAGATCGATAGTCTTGGCGTCAATCCAAGCGCTTCCCAAATACAAACACTTGATGTGCGAACACTTCTTCAGCAGTGATCCAAACGTGGCTTTGCTTTCAATCAAATCATATGTTTTGGTTTCTCTGAGAGTTCCTAATTGATAGGAAATGGCATCACTTATCTCTCCGGTGCTGAACACGTGATACTCTTCATTACATTTGTAATTGAAAAATCTAACCATTAGTCCATTCTTCCTCTTCAGAGCACTTCCCACACAATCCCTGAATTGATGGCAAACCGACTCAACTCTCAACAGCTGTTTCACCGAAAGCTCATTGAATATCAATCCCAAGACGTCGTCATTCATCACATGACTTCTTCGCGAAGACATGTCTTGTTTGGCGGACACAACACTCGCACCACTTCTTGTCTTTAATCGGTTCCCGTCTGAAGACATTTCAAAACAATCGCTCAAATCGTTTGAAAACTTCAAAACAGTTGAGTCTTATTACAACTTTTCGCACAGAAATTACGACAACTTTTCAAACCATTCATTCAATAACTGATTGAGACTTTAATTCAAGATTTATAAAACAATTTATACAAAAAAATAATTAAAAATAAAATCCAAATAATTTATTAATCAAATTATAAAACATAAAAATACAATTCTCTCTCTCTCTCTCTCTCTCTCTCTCTCTACGGATACTCTATTAGAGAGTAGAGAAGAGATAGAGTAACCCTTTGGCGAACTGAATGATCTCCATTGCGCCCATTTTGCTCTCGCCGTACACGCGGTCCACGAAACTGATGGGCACTTCGGACACCCGATAGCCCATAGCGTTAGCTCTGGCCATCATTTCCATCTGAAACACATAGCCTTTGCTGACACAGCTCTCCACCAGTTTCTCCAACACATCCCTCTTATAGAGCCTAAAACTGCCCGTCAGGTCAGACACGCCCGGCCTCAGCAACACTTGCGTCAAATAGTTAGCCCCGCGAGAGATCAACTTCCGCCTGAAGTCCCAGCCGTAGACACCGCCGTCGCCCGCATATCGCGTACCCGTCACCACATCTGATCCGGTCTTCGCTTGCATTTCGATGAATTGGGGGATGAATTTCGGCTAAACATACATAAAATAGTGGTCACAAAACAATGGCCAACACTAATGCCGCACAACAAACTCCCGTTATAGTGAACACAACCCATAAAATATGGTACACTATAGCGGGTGGGCGTTGTGTTCATTATCTCATTAGTAAAACTATTGATTACGTGATGCGATAGGTCTGAGTCCATGATGATAACGAAGCGGCCTCTGGAGTGCTTCAATCCGTGCATATAAGCGGTTCCCAAACCCAACTTCTTCTCCCGCGGCCTCAAAACGATACGACTCTCGCCGTAAATGAGTTGCAATTGTTTGGCCGCTTCTATAGTGCCGTCGGGACTGTTGTCGTCGATTATGATTATCTCATAGCCGTAACCACTGGTCAAATGGCCGATGAAATCATAGGAATGGACAAGAAGTACAACATTAGACACCAACTGATCCGGTCATCGAGAGTGAGCTATGCTTACCATTCATCCATGTATTTGACAATAAGCCACACAATGATTGGCAGATTCTGGCGCTCGTTATATGTCGGCAGAAGTATACTGTAAGCGATGGACGAGTTGGCCATTGTCTTCGGCGGTAATAATTGTCTTGATTTTGATGATAATTAAGACTTTTTCTTTGGTGACAATCGCTGTGTTTATTGACAACTCATTACACGTGTATTGCATTATATGTGTTCATAAATGTGTTGTCATAACAACTGATACAAACATTTGGACCCTTTTATGGCTATCAATGCAATACATTATAAATGCTTTAAGTTTAGTATAAAATAGTCCCAAATCTCAAGCATTAGTTAACGTGTATTTCTCAGCGCATGTCTTGTTTGAGGTGTTGTTTGACTTAACTATAATTATCATGAAGTGCCGAGTCTTGGAGTGCTGGGTATCTCCCCCTGCAATCCATTACGTAAAACATATCCCAATCCCTCCCAAAGTGCCGCACATGTCGTGGATTGTATGTACACTTTTTCGAAAGACATTTTTCGAAAGACATTTTTCGAAAGACACTTTTTCAAAATAATTAATTTAAATAATAATGTTCAAACAATGCCAAGAGTGCAATCGGAAATTATTGTTATAAATCGAAAGTACACTCTGTAGGAAGTATTGTGGTATATTTTATTTGGCTAGACGACCTCGGGTTTGGCCGCAATTATCACTTTTATTGGGGAAAATTTTAATATCAAATCTTTATTTTATGAATAAGTATATCATATTATATATCAATTGAAAAGTATGGATGAGTAGAATCGATATCTGAAGGAATTTCCCAAATCCGACATAATTGGTATAAGTTATATTAAAATTAAGAAATTTAATAACAGTTATGCACGTTTTTTATATTGATTAACGTAATTACTGTACATCATTTATATCAATTTAAATTATGCTCACAATGATAATTAATTTTGCAAATTACAAACAAATAAAAAATTTTAATATAAAATTTACATTTACATTGAACTTCGTCCTTTACTTTAAACACGTTAAATTAAGTTAAATTGCTAATAATAGCATTAATTAAGTTATTATAAGTTAGTTTAGGTTAGTTTAGGGTAGGGTAGGTTAGGTTAAACTTGTTAGTTCTTTAATTTAAATTAATTTTTTCGGACAAGTGTCTTTCGAAAAAAAGTCTTTCGAAAAAATGACTCAAAAAAATGTCTTTTGAAAAAAGTCTTTTGAAAAAATGTCTTTTGAAAAAAGTCTGTCGAAAAAATGTAATTTGAAAAAGTCTCGAAAAAATGTCTTTCGAAAAAATGTCTTTCGAAAAAATGTCTTTCGAAAAAGTGTCATGTAATCGTCGTGGATCTCAAACTTTTGCCAAACATTTGACATTATTGATGAACAGCTCTCACAAGCAGTATACAATATTTTGTACAGTTAAAGGCATAATAAAGGCGTACTCAGCACTCGAAGACTCGGCACTTCATGATAATTATAGTAAAGTTTTTGATGTTTTGTTTGACACAAACTTTTGAACACATGTTTTGACAATCAATTGATTTAATTGTAATTAAGTGTCATTTTTGTGGACAATTGACGACAAATTGAATATAAATGTCGGAACCGCTGTTCAAGAGTGGCGTTACCGGCGATGAAGACGCCGAAGACTCCAACGGTAAGTGTTTTGTGGCATTCATTTGATGATCACTTAAAGACATTGTTTTTTACCACAAATAGAGCTGATCTACTCGTTGGACACCTTCGCCGAAGACAGCGTCCAGTGTATGGCATTGATTGGCGAGTTGTCCACAATCGGTGACAATCAAAGCAGTGGCGATGATAACAAA